CGATAGGGTGGGGTGGGGATGGGAGTGGAAGGAGGGGTGGTGGTGAATAATGGGCATGGGGGTGGAGGGCTTGTTGGGGTATCGTCAGGGGATGCATACGCTGTAGATGCTAATAGATCGAAAAGAATAGTGCCAGTTTAGTAATGGCGCGCGGGGATGGTTGCCATTGAGTCGCAGGCCCAGTGCCGCATGACGCACCTGGCCCATCTACACACACTCAGGATTGCAACCCCCTCGCAACATCACCCCAACAGCTGCCCCTTGGGGCGCCACTCATCCCTAGAAAGCACCGCAGCCTGCGCCCACCTGGCTGCCGTCCACCTCAGAGCCGTGGCACACGATGAGCCCCTGGCGCTCGCACTTGCTGGAGTGCGGCCCCGCGGCGCCCGCCACCCTGCAGCCCTCTGCGGCAGCAGCGCGAGCGCGCGAGCCAGGGTCTGCCACGTGCCAGCATTTGGCCATGCCTGCAAAACGCACCACCTGCGCTCCGCACCAAGCGGCACAAACGCAGCTGCCCCTCCACACGCTGCCCCGACCACGTTGGAGTTGCATGTGACGTCACGATGACGTCATACGAACACATCACAGGCTCAAATGACTCCGAATCACCTGGCGTGCCGATGTCCAGGAACGCCTCTGGCACCAGCCCCAGCTGGTTGATGTCGAAGCGGCTGCCGCGCGGCACCACGTTGCGGTGGTCAAACACCTCAGCTTTGACCGCCACCCGGGTGGGCTCGATGCTGACCTCAGTCACCTGCTCAGGCGGTGGGGGGGTCAGCACGCACCGCTTGTTTGTATGCGCGTGAGTGCTTGTGTGTGTATGTGTGTGTTCATGTATTTGTATGAAGATTGGAATGGTGGGATATGTGTGTGTGCTTGCGTGCATGCGTATGTGAATGCTAAAATGTGTGGTGTGTGCGTCTTTGTTTGTGTGTGTGTGGAGGGGAGTCATGATTGGAGTGAAGGCAGTTAGGGCGTGGCCAACCACCTGCCGTCGATGCGCTCCACATGGCGTGCACCAATACTTGTTGAGCGCCCCCCCCCCCAAAGAGCACCCCATGATTAAGCTTCGCGGCAGGTTCCCTGCAAGCTCGCAGCAGGCGTGCCCCACTCCCCTCACCACACAACATGCTCTCTGGCTTCACTCACGCCCCCTCCCACCCCTCAACCCCGCCGGCCCATGACCCCGGTCAACCCGGTCAACGCCCACCCGTCCGATCTGGACGCCCTTCATCCGCAGGGGCGTCCCCAGGTGGACCTTGGAGGCGATGGAGAAGTTCATCGTGAAGCTGTACGGGTTGACGCGGCGCGCTGACATGCCGCGCGCCCTGCGTGCACCCCATGCATGTGCGCGAAGGCAGAGGGGGTTGCACCTCGGTAGAGGCGGCTTGGCGTAGGGGAGGCGCGAGAAACTGGGTGATAAGCGTGGCAAGCTGGACTGGAATTTTTGGCCGGCGTGCTGCCCCCGGGACCCGCAGATGCTCGTGCCGACCGGCATACAAGCGGGCGGCGCGCCGTCCCGCCAATTGGCCCATCACCCGTCCTAGGGGTGTTTCGGAACGCGGCGGCCTGCCAAAAAGTCAGGCGGCCGCGACATCCTGGCGAAACAAATGCCTGCCTGCACGCTGGCCATGGGGCAAGCTTTGCAGCATCGCTGCCCATTGACGGTCCGGCCGGCGCCCAGCTTCCAGCACGGCAGCCCGGGGCCGGCCTCGGCCGTACTCATGACATACCCTGCTGCCTCTAAAGCAGCCCTCTCACCAGAAGTACAGGAGGCCGCTGCAGAACACCCCCACCCCCAGAAACGCCGCCAGCGATGGGGATATCTGCGGCAGCGGCCGCTCCTGCAGCCGGCTGAGAATCTGGCCCGCCTTGGAAATGCCCGCCTTGCCGCCGCGCTTCGCGGCTGCGGCGGCGGCGGCGCCTGGGGTGCGGGGATGCGGGGATGGCTGCTGCTGGGACGCTGTTGGTGGTTGCTGCGAGGTGCCGGCTTCTACGCCCACAGGCCGTTGCTGCTGCTGCTGCTGCTGCTGCTGCTGAGGCGCCCCCAGAGATTGATGCTGCTGCTGCTTCTCAGGCTGGCTTCCCAAGGGCAAGGCACTGCTGTCGCCAGAGGGCGCCAGGGCGCCCTCGCCAGGGCCGCTGCTAGCGCTGCCTGGAGGCGACGGATCGGGTGTCGAGCGCGCGGCGATGCGCCGCTCCCGCTCGGGCACGTAGCGTGTGTTGGAGGCGGGCACAAAGCTCCTGGGAACGGCGAGCGTATGGGTTCTGACGCTGGCCTTGAGGAGAGAGGCGCTGCACGCGCAGCGGCGCTGCGTGTGCGTCCCTGCTGACGGACCTGTCACGCCCGCCAGCCCCATGCTGTGGTGCCGCAGCGGCCCTGCACGCTGCATTATGAGTTTATGTATGTGAAACAATCCACCTATGATACGGGAAATAAACAGTGGTGTTGGCGCGGTTCGCAACACTTTGCTGCGTTGGACGACGGTGCCTGGATCACTGTTGATGTGGATTGTAACTGTGAAACACGAGCTACGAATTCGGCAAATGTGCATGCTGAATTCTGCTAGATATCGCACGTTGTCGAGGTCACCCGAGGATGCAGCCTGGTGATCTCCGTGCCTCCCAACAGGTCCCAGTAAGATCCTGGTGTGGCATGCATCTCAGTGACGTCGGCATATGTTCTTAGGGTGTTGTCAGGCTCTCGGCCCTTTCGTTCCTGGCCTTCACCATCTAGCCGAGGGCGACGAGGAGATGGCGGGGTCCTGAGGGAGCAATCATGCTCCGCTTTCGCTGTCCATGTCGTGGTGGCTGCGGCGTACCCCGGTCGCGCCAGCGGTCCGCGTCCCATCGCTTGCCAGCGTCCAGCCCACAGGTAAGGGAGTCTCGTGCACGATTTCGAAGCTCTCTTGACATGGCATGAGCATCCAATGCCATCTCGCGGCCACCTGCCTGGCTGACCGCCCGCGCGTACGCTGTCGCGCCGCTCCTGCTCTCCGCTCAAATCTTAGGGGCGGCGCGGCGACGCCTGTTCCGCGCGCCCCGTCCACGCGTCGGGCCTGTCAGCTCCGGCATTGGAGGTGGCCGTGGATGTAGCACACGAGCATGCGCGCGAGCAGCAGCACGGGCACCAGGACACCCTGCCGGCTCGGCCGCAGCGATGTGGGGTGGGGTCGGCAGCGGACAGCGACGCCGACGCATTGGATGACCTGCGGGAGCTAGAAGAGCGCCGGAACAGCCAACACTCAGCGGGCACGTCTGGGACGGACGCCGCGGACTCCGCCTGGCGCCATGCGGGCGCCGGCAACGGCGGGCGCCGGCACGCGCTATCGGGGC